CCAACTTTTCCAACAGGGATGCTTAATGTTAGCCATCCAGACCCATCATTAGGCCCTGAATAAAGGTGCCCTTAGTTTTTTAAAGGGACTGAACACTCACCTCTCCCATTCTGTATTCAGCACTGAGCTGTGCGGCCATATGGCACCTTTCTGAAACGTAATGTCTACCTCTGCTCCCCGTAGGATGGGGCAGGTTTGAATCTCCCCTTAACTAGACTACCGTGGCTGTTGCCTTCGCTGGACTTTGCGTCAGGCTCTTAAGTGCTGTTTTTCAGCGTAGAAAATAGCACTCTTGCATGTCCCACACACCTTTCTCGTGGAATTATGCTTGTTTTACCATATTACGTGGTAAATTGTATGGAGTAGGCTGGGAAAATGACAGGGCTCCCGTTATCTACATCTTGCAGAGCAGCAAATGTGAGGGCTTGGGAAAACTTCACTTAGTCACCTAGGAAAGGGTCACTAAACAATGCTTTATTTTTAAAATGGGACAGAAAAGAAGGTTCAGGCCTTATTTTCCTCCCTCCCAGGTACACAGGCCTTCCCTGTTTCAACTCCAGGATCAGGTCTTCCCTATTTCAACTCCAGGTTCTCTGCTTTTTGCGTGTGTAGATACTGAGTGAAGCTGTATGTGAGCTACAATCCTACTGCAGCGGGCCGAGGAGGCTATGGGCTCATAAACAGGCAATAAAATGTTCCTGTGTAAAGTTGTGTCTTCCCAGAAGAGCGGGCACATCTACATGAGGCACTAATTGCACAGTAGGCTAATTCTACTGCGCGTTAGCATGTCACGGCAAAAGCTGTGCTAGTGTGCTAAGACTAGAATTAGTCTAGTGCGCATTAGCGTCACTAATAAACCGTGCGCTGGCTGCAGGTACTAAACTTATTACAGCTACTAAACTTTAATGTGCACTAACAACAGCACATTAATGAATGTGTAGATGAGCCCAGCATGTGTGCGTTTGTGTATGCGCATGCACATATGTGTGCATCTATGCATATGTGTACAAGCAAGCACCCAAACCAAGCATGTATTTCCCATCTCCCCTGTCGCCACCCTGCTCCACCCCCACCAAATTTTCTGTTTGCCAGCATGTGTCCACAGGGCTTTGAAAAGGAGGCATCTTTCCCGGGTTCACAGAAGAGTTATGCGCCTACAGATATCAGTGTGCATATTCAATCAATGCTTTGAAAATGTACCCCTGAAGGCTTTCTTGCTTATCGACTGGTCCTGTGTGAATGAAAGCAGCAGGAGACTGAGGGAACTGAAAAAGAGAAACATCAGGGCCAGATGATCATCTGGTGGAAATGGCTTTAGATCCATAAACTTTATTGGTTTTACACCACCTAAAATCTGATCTGTAAGCATTAAAACAATCATAGAAATATGGCTTGTGTTGTTTCTATATGTTTCTAGACTTTCAGATATTTTTCAACTGCCTCAGCAGTAAGTTAATGGCAATCTATGCTATATAGGCTAGACAGCCTTGACTGAACCTTTCAAGACTTCTGAATTCTTTTATTGTATTTTCCTTTCAGGTGCATTGTTCTTGTGCTGCTGTTTGTTTAAAGTTTTGCTCCCTGTGCGACTTTATTTGCAAGTTTCTGAAGTTTGCTGCTTGTGAATAAAGTAACTTAAGAACAGATGCAAAAAATAGAAAAGAGTTGCAGGCCAAGAGAGGGAGAGAAATTCATCATGCTTCTTTATCCCATCACATCGTATGGCCAGGTAAATGGGCTCTGATTCTGAAGATTTAATGTATTAAGTCTGTAAGTGCCACTGAGAGATGTTCACATAGCACGATGCATTGCCATTCAAAAATGCTTGAGCTAGCTCAGGTCCTGAAAGCAGTAGAAAGGTATTAGCACAGTGCTCTCCAGGGCCTCATTAGCATGGTGCTCTGCTCAGACTAATGTGGCTGTATGGTGCTCCCAGTATCCAGGCTAGCTCATTCA